TAAAAAAAAAGTCATGTCTGGAGACACAGACCCTTTTTTCTGATCCTAAATTTACTGAAGGCACACCTCTTTCCACTATGCATCACATACACACACACACACACACACACATTTTAGAATTAAAGAGAAGGTAAACAGAGATGCTAACTTGTCCAGAAGAAACTGAACAGTACCTGAATTCCACTTAATTTTATGTTTCTTTTTATACAGAAATGCGTAAGTATAATGCAAGAGGAAAGGCAGGGATATGGTTTGTGATTTTCTAATGATTTGTAAGATTTATAAGCTTAGGAAGTACCTTTGCTTTCCAAGAAGTTTCTCTACCTTCATCTCACTTCTAAAAGACAGGGAGTGTTATGGAGCAGCAAATGTTAGGAGTTTACTGCCTAAAACCGAGAATGAGACGAAGAGTGGACAGAAATGGTATGATACCCCATGAGACAGATGATGCACACTTGCTTGCTCACCCTTAGTCTTACACGAGGCAGAAGCAAGCAACCAAAGACTCGTTTTTGTTTCTTCAAATGCTCCTTCTTGCCTGGCCAAAGACAAAATGTCTTCCCGTAGATGGAGGAGACCTTGCTGGGGACATGGGTGACATCTTAGAGCAGAAAACGAAGGAGTGGGAGAATTCTGTAGCTGAGCTATTTTCTTGAGCTTTTTTCCCTAGAAAATGGGATGGAAGGAATGTGAGAAGGTGAAAGCTATAATACATAGTGGAAAAGACTGTTGGTCATAGAGCCATTTAAAATCATATACACCGGCAATGATGTAAACAGATCTTTATATTGTAATCTTATTTTCCTTTGACTGCCATAATATAAAAATAATTGATTTTCGTCATTATGTTAAAATAGGTGTATTTTATCCTGGCATCATACAAAGTGTATCTCCTTCCCCCTTCCTCTGCTATTAAATGGTTAATGCTGTAACAAAATAGTACTACAGATGCTGGAAACCATTTAACCATATAAACACACACTCCGACTATATTGTTTTTGTGGGTCTGTATTTTAATTCAGTGGATACTTTAAATGAGTACAATTTTAAATTATACAGTGGGAAGGGGATTAAGATTTCTTAAATGCGTTCATAGCTACTCTACCCTAGCACGACTATTATCTTTTTTGTGGTCACCAGCTAGTATTTACTCACATATACATTTTGTTCCTACTTATAATCAGAACATACAATTTTATATACAGCTTTCTTTATCATTCTCCATATTGCAACTTACTTATTACTTTAATGGCTACTTAATATACTGGAGTTAATATAGCAACATTTTCTTAGATTCTCCCCTATTGGATACACAGATTGTTTCCATTATTCACTATAATGAATAAGGCTGCAATGAACATTTTCCTAAGTATGCCATTTTCTAATTTTGAATTATTACCTTGGGATAATTTGTAGGATTACTAAGTCCAAGGGTATGAATATATTTAGGGACTCTTAACATAGGTATAGGTCAGACTGGGGGTTCAATGGGCTGTACATGTCTATAGTACCACCAGAAATATATGAGTTTATCAGTTGTTTTCCCAATAGTGTCATCTGCATTTATATTTTATGATTTATAATTTTAGTTAACATAATCTGTGTCACTTTTTTATTTATTTGTATTTCTTTCATTATGATTCAGATTTTTAAAGTTTACATATGGCTTCACATAAGCCTTACTATTAGTGAGGTTTAATCAAGGAAATCACTTAAATATCAGACAAGCACAGGTTCAAATTCCAACCAAGCCACTTCTTGTTTTCAGTCAGCCTCTCAAAAAAATTAACAATTTATTCATTCATGAACTAATGACAGTGAGGCCTGCTTCGTAAAGTTGTTGAAATGATTTGATGAATTAATTGATGCCTCGTGTGTTAGTGGGACATGGGGAATGATTACTTCTTCACTGTTTCTCCCTCTCTCATCTCTTCTACCAACCCTCCTACCCCTGACTTCTTCAGGTGATGAAGAAGTACAGATGATCCATTCAAGTTCTCTTGGTACGGAGGTTCATAGAACCTGCTTTGTCATTCCAGAGTCTACATCCGTGGGGGCCCATTGTCAACGTTCTCTAGAGAACTGTCTTGCCAGCAAGAACTGAGTTATATTGCAAAACTCTGAGGTCAGATCAGTGGGACCCCATGAATTAACCAAGCGTTCACACAAACAAATGGATAATACACTCAACATAAATTACTCTTTCCATAAATTACTCATTTTAGGATTCTTCATATAGTCCAATTTCTCCATTCAATGTCTCTTTTCCAGGTTTTCCTCCGTTAGGTTTCTCAGAGATATTTTGATTTATTTGACTCTTTCTGTTGGTTTTGGGTAATACTTTGACTTAATCTTCTATCTGTTGCATCTCACCCAAGAACAAGCTTCCTTCTATAGTAACTAGTGCAGTTGGTCAAGCAGTCGCCAAGACAAGACAATTGCTAGAAGTTGCATTCTGGCTAATAACATCATTTGGATTTTGTCTGCCTTACATCTAGTATCTGCTTTCCAGGCATTATTGCCCAGTAGTTGCCTCGAACTGGTATCCACCTTGACGGCCTTTGTAGCAAGATCTGTCTTCCCAAGCAAATATTCTTCTTTAGAGCCAAAATAATTCCTAAGACATTATAAGGTTTGAGAAAGCCTATTAACAAGCATATAATGTCTCAATTGGAAAAGCACTGAAAATATAAATTTCTATCCTCTTCCATGAGGGCAAGGCTATTGGGGGGGGCAGTTACCAGAAGATGTTCCAGTCTCTCACCTTCATGATGAGAAATCGAACTAAGATGTATCTTAAGCAGTTTCACTTTGGGATTTTATTAAAGAGAAAAGGGGGAGGGGGGAGAAGAAGGGAAAAAGTTCTCTGCAGCTTTTTCTAGCCTCAGAACTGTATTTCTCATCCTCTGGAGAATGCTATGGGCTCCTCTTGATTTTTTATTTCTTACATAAGCCTTTACTTTATGTGTCACACACAAGATTTCTTCATTTTTGCATCTCTAAACCCACTTTCCCCCATCTCCAAGCCCACTCTCCCTGTTTTTAGATGTTACAAATGAGCGTGGTCTCTTTTCTTATCTGAGTAGATGCAAAATTCTAACTTCTTACCGACATCAAAGCCCTTCATCCCCGCACAGCACCAGCAAAGTTACTCAAGCACTGACGATTCCCGCAGCAAAAACCCACCAAGCCTGAGAGAGACTCCTTTGTAACAATCAAGTCCACAGAGGGAATTCAAGGATCACAGCAGGGTTTAGACAGAATGACCAGTGTTTCCACTGTGGCTGGGCAGCATTCGGGAGCCACCATGTCTGCAGTGCGGCCATACAGAGACACCTAGCATTGAAAATACCCAAACACAAGGTGAAGAAACGTGCACTTAAGAATCACAATCTTGTGTTTCTACCCACACTTGCAATCATGAGACTAGGAACAGAAAGGGTGATATTAGAAACAGTGTCATTGTGCCCAGGGCCCACTCTGCAGCACACAGCAAGAAAGCTCCCAACATGAAATAGGACGGTGACTGGAATGGCCATCCAATGTTCATCGTACCACACGCATTTCCTCATGAATCCTGGCCTCGTGAGCCTCTCCTTCTGGCCAATGGAGGACTGGCCCCCAGCTTCCACCTCAGTCTATATGACTTACTTTGTGCTTTGGGCAAACCCCTCAACGACAGTCTCCCCTCAACCATGGGTCACATTGTCCTGCCTTACAGAGCGATTGTGAAGCCAGAACGAGATCATGTGCCTACAGGATTTTGGAACAGGGTTCAAATTCTCTATAATTATTGGGGTAGGTGTCTTTGTTAGTACTGTTAGGCTGATCTACAGTAATTGAAATCCGTGAAAAGGTGTTCTGCCATTTGTTTGTGTATGTTCTGTTTTCCTCACGTGATTGTACCCCCATTAAGGTGGCTTCTGGAACATGCCATTCTCCCTCACAGCTTCCTGCATTTGAACATGCTGCTTGAATATCCTTCTCTTCCCCTCTGCCCCCATGTCCCTTTGTCTGTCTGCCACTTTCCTACTCAGCATTCAAGACTCAGATTAAAGACCTCCTGATTGGTGATGCCCACCTCTGTACCTTCTTTGTACTGTGGTTGGGCAAGTAATTGGATGATCTGCATCCAATGTGGCCTCTTCCATTTGACTGGACTCAGGCTTTTTGAAGGCAGGACCAAGGCTTACTCAGTTTCCATCTTATTCACTCGGTAAAGGTTGATCAAATGATGCATGAATGTCAAGTACTTGTTGCCATGAAATAAATTGTATTAATTAGGTGAGTGATTCTTTGCGTATTTGCTGTAAAACTTAGGAAGGAAACTCAACACTTAGCTTTCTGTAAGTAATATAAATGTATATGCATTATGTGTGCATATTAAGGGGAAAAGCTAATAAAGTGCTCCCAATTATTGGAAGTTTCAGACTGAGGACATGGGACCATAGGACAGAGACCACCACATGTGATATTTGTGTGGAGAGATAGGTTCCACAAACTCATTGTTCCCCCAGTAGTTGATGTGAATCACTCATTCAGCAGGATGCTAATAGGTATTATAGAAGAGAAGGGTTTCTTGATGAATATCTGGAAAATACTGACATAAATCTCTATTTATAAAATCTGTCATTTAATTAAAATGCCATCTCTGGAGGAAGAGGAGAAGGGTAATCAAAAGGTACAAACTTCCTAAGAGTTCTCATCAGAAGGAGAAAGAAATTGTTTTTCTTTCCTTTTTTGCTTTGTTTTTATGGTATCTACATGAGATGATGGATGCTAACTAAACTCACAGCAGTAATCATTTCACGATATATGTAAGTTAAGTCATTGTGCTGGACACCTTACACTTATACAGTGATGTACGACAATTATATCTTGATAAAACGGGGAAAAAATAAATAAAATACTCTCTCACAGTTTAGTGATCCAACTGTCCTCCTTCATCTTTTATTTTGATTTAGATTCATTTACCCCTTCTTTCTTTCTTTGATTTTCAGCTTTCGTGGTGACATGGCACCTGTTTTCTTTCTACAAGAGAAATTCAGCACACAGCAGAGTCCTTGATAAATTGGATTGGTTTGATGATCCTACCTGGAATAGGTATGTAAAATGTCCAGAGGCCTTGATAAATTGGATTGGTTTGACGATCCTACCGGGAATAGGTATGTAAAATGTCCA